ATCTTCTCGTTGCCAGCATCGATCTGTCCAAAGTCAGCTTTCTGTGTCTCTCTCTCTATCTCTGTCTCTCGCTCTCTTTCTGTCTCTCTCTATCTGTCTGTGTGTCTTTCTGTGTCTCTCTCTGTCTCTCTCTATCTCTGTCTCTGTCTCTCTGTCTCTCTCTCTCTGTCTCTCATTATCTGTCTCTCTGACTTTCTGTGCCTCTCTCTCTCTCTCTCTCTTCCTATCTTTCTGTGCCCCCCCTCCCTCCCCAAAGTAAGCCAGTAGATTAACAGGCGCCGTGATTTGAGCTTTGGAAGGAAAAAGCTGACTTTGGACAGATCGATGCTGGCAACGAGAAGATATGAATAAAAAGGAAGAGGGAGAGGATCGCAGGGGCCAAAACTGAGAAGAAGGACAAAATAAAATAAAATAAAATAAAATAAAGTAGAATTGGAGATTTCAACAGCCTTCCCAAATCAAAAAGCCAAGGAAATTACGCCAAGGTATCAGGAAAGAACAAGGTACAGTTCAAAGGGGGGGGGGGAGGCAGAAGACACCCCCTCCTCCCGAGACACAACCCCCCCCCACTCACCCACAATAATGCCACAGGCGCTCAGCAAGCCGATTTCCTTCTTGAGCGCTACTCCGCCGCCTTCTTCCGATTTTTCGGGGGCCTTCTCGGGGCCACCACGCCGACGGGCACCGTCCTCCATCCTTCCTTAAGCCAAAGGCGACCTAGTCAAAAATCCACGGGGGAGTTCTGGATTCCGCAGGAGGGTTTTCCTAGGATTTGGGAGAGAGCAGGGGGGGTCCCAGATCGATCCTCAGCTCCAAGCTCAAGGGGGGTCAGTCTAGAGGAGCTCTGAGGGGCCCAAACTTAAGACAATTCCCCCCTCTCCCACTTTGTCTCAAAAGAGTTTTGCCGGCTTCTGGACAATTTCAGCATCCGAAAATGGGTCGGTGGGCTTCAAATTTTTTCTTCTTCTTCTTCTTCCAGAATCCCAGCCAAAGGGTCCGAAGCCAAAATTGCTTTTAAGGAAAATGAGGACTTCTCTTGTGCCAGCCCGTTTGGGTCAAGAGTTTCTCTGACTCGCAGTCCTTTCCCACGTGCGACACTGATCCCAACGGGGACCCTCGGGGTTTGAGTTGGCACAAGTTTCCCCCGCGGAGCCCCCCCGGTGTATCCCGCGAGGGTTTTTGCTTATTTTTTGCAAGGAAGCGCCGAGCTGGCTCTGGGTGCCAATCCCGCGCCCCCCGATCGGGCTCGGTTGAAGGGCTGGCGAGGCAAGGATTTGGGGCGGGGGGGTCTGTCCTTGTTGGGGCGGCCCGGCTGAGCTCTGGTTCCCTCCTGGCCCCGCGGCGCCGGACTCGCTCTGCCCTCCGCGCCTGGCTCGCGATGTTTTTTTGCCCTCCTCTCCCGGGCGGTGCTCCGCTGGTAGAACCGGCTGCCGCCGGCCAGGGCGGTGGCCGAGCCTCGCTCCTCCCTCTCTTGCCTTACCTCCGGCACCGGCTTCCCGGCACCGGCTTCCCGGGATCAGGCTCCCGTCGACCTTCCCCACGCGGGGAGGCTGGCGGGAGGGGACCCGGGTGTCTCTCTCTCCCTCTCCCTCTCCCTCTCTCTCTCCCTCCCTCCCTCTTTCTCTCTCTCTCTCTCTCTCTCTCCCTCCCTCCCTCCCTCTGTGTGTGTGTGTGTGAGAGAGAGAGAGAGTGAGAGAGAGAGAGAGAGGCACAGAAATACAGAGAGACAGAGAGAGACAGAGAGACACAGAGAGAGAGAGAGAGACAGAAAGACGGAGAGAGAGAGAGAAAGAGGGAGGGAGGGAGAGAGAGAGGGAGAGGGAGANGCCTGTTCCCAGTGTGTCCATGCACAGAGTTGCCAGAGGAAGAGAGCAGCTAAAGAACAGGGGTCAACTTAGGAGGAAGGCCATAGGTGGACAGTGAATGGCCCCTCCCAGAGGAAATAAAAGAGGAGCGAAAGGGGAGTGGAGTTTGCAGGAGACCATTAGTTCGCTTCATTTGTTCATGACTCTCCGAGACTCCTTGCCAAGTTTTGCAGAGATCGTCCTGGCAGCTCTCCAAGCCAGATGAGGTCTGTGACCGTAAATCCTCCCTTGAAAGACTTTGCTGGATGGGAAGGAGCAGAATTCACAGTCAATTAATAGAAGGGTTTTTTGTCGGGACCAGGAGTTTGCTTCAGGCTCTTGGGAAGCCTTGGTCAGAACCTCTCCGACTTTACACCTTGGAGAAAAGCGAGTTGGAGAGAGGGCTGGGCCAGAAGTAGGTTCCTACCGGCGTTGGTACCGGTTCGTTTCGCGTATGCGAATGCACGAATAACACAAGGAGCTAATAAAAACCATGACGGCAGCGGAAACTGGAAAATTGTTTTGAGGGCGTGGCCAGCCTGAGTTGCCACCAGTTCTGCGACCCAGGCGGAATTACCACTAACGGTTTGCCCAAACTGGTGCAAACCTCTGGACTGGGCGGTGTTTTACCTTTGGTGGCTGGGGTGGGCAAAGCATCAGGAGTCCCCAAATGAGTATAGAGGTGCCAGTGCCCATGCTGGGCATGGCACACCCTTGGAGTTCCCGCAGAATGGAGATGCCCACGTCTCAAGTGCCACGCTGCCTTCAGGGCCAGCGCCTTGTGTAACTGTGCCACCCCCGTGCTTGGTATTCTGCACAGGACTCAGCTGTGTGAATGCCAACTTGGCAGCGGAGATGCACGAAGAGGGGGGGGCACCCCGGCATAATATCCAGGAATGAAGGGGGGGGGTTGCCCATCTCTGGATTATCCGTCACCAGGATTGGGAATTCTTAATTTTTATTTATTTTACTTATTCATTCAATGTTTAAGCCATCCCATTCGTCTCCAAGTTATGAACCACAGTACTGGTAATCCTCGATTTACAACGGTTCATTTAGTGACGGTTTAAAGTTACAAACGCCCTGAAAGAAATGACTTAGGCTGTTTTTTCACGCTTAATGACCATTGCAGTTTCCCCAGGATTTATATTTGTATGCTTGACAACGGACTCCTATTTATGACGGTCGTAGTCTCTCCGGGTTGCGTGATTAAAATTCCGATGCTTGGCAACCGACTCATATTTATGACGGTTGCCATATCCCGGGGGGCAGGTGATAATCCCCTTTTTGCGACCTTCAGGTTAAGGGGGAAGTCAGATTCACTTAACAACCGTGTTACTAGTTTAAGAACTGAAGTGCTTCACTTAACAACCGTGGCAAGAAAGGTGGTAAGGCGGGGCAAAAGTCACTGAACAACTGTCTCGCTTAGCAACAGAAATTTTGGGCTCCAATGGGGTCGTAAGTCGAGGACTACCTGTAGTTGCCTTGTAGATACGCCAATTATGAAGGAAAGCCCTTTGCAGGTAGTCCTCGAGTTATGATGTAACTCCCCCCCCCCCAACAAGGCTACAATTAGTCCTCAATGTACAACTTTTTAAATGTCAGCTTTCAAAGTTACAACACCACTGAAAAAAGTGTTTTAGGGACTATTTTTCACACTTACAACTGTTGCAACAAACCCCTGGTCATGTGAGCAACTGATTCGTATTGATGATGGCCTCAGTATCCTGGGGTCACATGATCCCTTTTTGTGACCTGACAAACCAAGTCAAGGGGGGAAGATGGATTCACTTAACAGCCATGTTACTGACTTAATGATTGCATCTCTTTCTCTTTCTTTCTCTCTTTCTCCCTCTCTCTCTCTTTCTCACTCTTTCTCTCTCTCTTTCTCCTCTCTCTGTCTCTGTCTCTCTCTCTGTCTCTCTGTGTCTCCCTCTCTTTCTTTCTTTCTGTCACTCTCTCTTTCTCCTCTCCCTTTCTTTCTCTCTCTCTCTTTCTCTCTCCCTCTCTCCCTCTCTCTCTCTTTCTCTCTCCCTTTTCTCTCTTTCTCTCTCCCTTTTCTCTCTCTCCCCTTCTCTTTGTCTCTGTCTCTGTCTCTGTCTCTGTCTCTCTCTTTCTCTCCCCCTCTCTCCCCCTCCCCTCCCTCTCCTCCCTCTCTGTCTCTCTTTCTTTCTCTGTCTCTCTCTCTCTCTCTCTCTCTCTCTCTCTCCCTCTCCT